CGTGCTGGCCCCGCGGGTGTGCGCGCTGCGCGCCGGGCCGCGGCGGTCGAGGCGGACGAGGAGGCGGCGGCCGGCGGGGCGCGGGGCCGGGCGCGCCCGCGGACGGGCTGGACAGCTCTACGCCGCGCCGCCGCCGTGCCCCGCGCGCCCCAGCGGCCGCTGCTGCCCGTGCGCGCCGGGCCCGCCTCGCATTCCCCCACTCGGCGGCGGGCCTGCGCCTCCGTCAGGCCGCGCGGGGAGCGGCGGCGAGTCCCGGCGAGGGGCCGCCCCCGCCCGCCCCGAGGGCTGGGCTCCGCCGGAAGAACCCCGGCGAACTTCGGGTCGGCTCGCTGTCTCCCCTCCGCGGCCGGGGCGCGCGCTTGCCCGCCCGGGGGACGGGGGCTTGGGCGGGGGCGGGGGGGGCTCGGCTCCTCGGACCCCGCGGGCCTTGAAACCGCGCTAGAGGATCCAGGTGCCCTCGCGGAAGGGGCCGGGTAGGCTTGCGGCGATCGTCACTTAAGTAGCTTTCTTAAAAACGAAGTTAGGGAGTCAGCCGACAGATCTAGGGGAACAAACCGCGTACGACTTCATGAGGCCCAAACCTAAATGCCAGAGACCAGGTGTGCGGCTGGCAGGGGGTTCTCGCCCCGGGACCGGATATGTTCGCTTTGGGCACGAAAGATGAAAATGCCCCTTGGTCATCAGAAGTAGCGGGAGCGGTGACGACAGAAGGGATGTGTGAAGCTCTAGTCCCCGACATCAAAAAGGACCTGGAAGAGGATCAGAAATTGATTCATCTTGCTGTTCCCTTCCGACTGGACTCTCCAGTCAGGAACAGGACGGCCAAGAGGGTACTGGGTAAAACGGACAATGAATCGTTGAGTGTGCAGCTAGATTGAGCGGGAACGGCCTTTTTGCCAAGGTCTGAAGTAATGGAACCAAATGGGCCACACCTAAAACCTAGCTTACCTGTCCCCAAGTATCATCTTCTGTGGGCGAAAGGAGCGCTTTCCCCTGGAAGGGCAAGCGCTGTAATTAAAGCAGCCCCAGACTGTTCCCATAAAGCCCGGGCAAAACCACCAGAGGCTGCTCGACCCTGCGGGGACTTAGAATTGGAGAGGAGGCCAGGAAAGCCATCATTACACAGCTCTCAAAATACCTGTCTTACCATCTTCGGGCAATCACCCTGAGACCAGTGAAGGTGTCCCGACAAATACGAGACCCTCACCTTCTTCCCTCCACCCAGAGGTGCCTTAAGTCCCACTGAGAATGGTTTCGGGAGCATACAGGGAGATATCCAGAGGGAGGCTCTTTGCCTGTCCCCCACCCCGAGTTGAGCCCCTGGGTGATACCACTGCAAGCTTGCCATGATTGCACTCAAAACTTGGGAGGCCTTCATCAAAAAGCAGCTCCCCCAGTAACCCGGTAGGAATAAATACACTAGTATCACAAGGCAGTTCACATCCACAAGTATTTATTGAGTGCTTGTACGCAAGAAGACATGATGGTCCCTGCTCTCGCAGAGCTTACAATCCCAGGACTCCAATACTTGCCTAGATTAAAAAAAACTGCAGCAAGCACTTGTCTCTGCCTGACCATCAGCAGCACTGGAGGAAGCAAGTGTTTCACATTGTTTTGGTCACTGCTACAGTGCAATCGTGAATAAAGCAATTATCTTTGAAGTCTGGAGTCACAGCGATGACGTGGTGCGTCATGTCCAGCAAATGCATTTATGGCTTGATTCCTCCTATTTGAGAGGCATCTACTGAAATAAAACGTAAGTCAGAAGAAGGCTTTGTAACACAGGTCCTAAGATACTGGTGCAGTTTAACGTATTATCATACTGCCACAGAGCTCTTGGCAAAAAAATTATCATCTCCTGCAGAATGTGTGCAATATAATTGGTTTAATCAGACCTGTACATCTCATGACCACACACACTCTCGTGACGGGTAAACATGATTTACCTGTAGGACTCGTGAAGGGTGCTAGGTATGCACTTACTTTTTAAAGCTTCTTAAAGATTCGCAGCACAAGTGACACATTAAAATGTAATGAAAATTGCTTCTGAGATAAAAATTAAAATGACAAAAATGTCTAATTTTACTACATATGTAAGGGCAGAATTCAAGTTTAAAAAGCATTCAGCACAGCGCCTAAGTCTTCAGAGTTAAGAAGGGGAACCAAACTCTAAAAACAACCCTCGTCTTCATGTGGCCCTTCTGATGCCTACTGCAGACCGGCCTTCCTGCGGTCCTGCCTTAGAGGCCACACCTCGGACCTCTAATTATGGGACATTCAAAGGAGCCATTATTTTGGTTACATGGACAAAACCTTTTCTTTTCTTTTTTTAAGGAAAATAACCTATGTTTACATCAAATAACCCCCAGATCATCTATTTAAGATACTTCTGAACTTCTACCCAACAGTTACCAGTTTTAATAGTCAAAAAACAAACACCTCACGCCAGGAAGATCATATGAACTCCAAGAAATCTTTTTTTTTTTTTTTCTTGCAAAAAGGTGGAGAGATCATCTTAGACCACCTAACAGAAACGTCAACCAACCCAAGGCAATTTTTAAATCAATTGCTGGGGCGACAACCTACTTTCCTATTTAAAAAGTCCTAAATCACTACTTCAAAGCCCTGATTAACTCAGAATGAATCTGAAATGTGTACTTTTGTTGAAAAGTTAGGAAGCACCAGGTACTTTACATAATCTCCTTTAAAATGGAAGGAAGCTTATCGCTTCATCTTATCTCTTGCTGCTGAGGCGGGCAGGCCTGAGCCTGGTGGTGACCCAGGTCTGCCTGGCTCTCCCTGTGCCGCCCAGCAGCTCTGCCCTTAGCCACCTCTACTGCGTCAGCCAGAACATGTACTATGAAAGGGACAGAACCATGGGAAAAGAGTGAGTAAACTCTATTTGCATTAAAAGAGGCACTTCCCCGAAGTGGAAGGTGCTCTCAGGCTGTTACTCTCCAGCAGCTCAGCCCCAGCGGGGAACCAAGCAATTCACCTCCCAGGGACACCCGCAACTTTCTAACATCGCCACTTCTGGGGTTGAGTTGCTTTTAAGTGGAGCGTTCTGTGTTTGTAAATTAAGCACGAAAAAGGGAAAGATGGCTGAAAGGATTTTCCTTGGTTCTCCTCTTCACAGCTATGAAGAAAAAGGTGGTTTTTTTTTAATGTTTAAATAAGTGACTGATACTTACAATTTATTATACATTTAAAAAATCAAAGCACATGTTTTCTGAGAGGCATAGAAGAGGTTTTGATGGGGTTTCAGATCTTTCTTGGAAGAAGCCAATAGAGACTACTAAGATAACTCCTTCACAAGATAAAACTTCTGAAATGGCAATTTCCTATTCTTGAGAAGGTAGTGGACTTCATGATAAAAGAAGGAAACAAGGAATATCCTAATCATTTTCAAGTTAGATTTTAATGTCACATATAGGAACACAAAGGTAATAACCATCAGTAAAGTTGATCCCTTTACTAGGTCTTGACACAGCTGTACAGCTTGATTAAAATTAACTTATTCTTTAACTAGTTGACTTTTAAAAAAAAAAAAGTTAGAAAAAAGTACTATGAATAAAGGCACTTATTCTGTTGATGAATAATTGTGATTAGCCCAAGGTCTTCAACTGTTGGCAAGAGATGGGAGCAAAGGTTCGATCCACGGATAGGAACAGAAGAGGCAGGTGTCAGATGGACCCTCCTGACGGAGGACCACCCAAGGAAGCTGAGAAGGGAGCCTGCTGGGGCAACAGGCCCAGAGCTCAGCCAGGTAAGCTTTGGTGAAGGGTGCAGTTTGAGATCCCTGCTCAAAGGCATACACAGACCCTAGTGCAGTGATGCCTGGCTTGGCTCATTATAACTACAAGCTGCTAAGAGTCACATAAGAAGAAAACGTTCAAAAGAAAACCAAACTTTAAAACCTGAGCATCATCAGTGGCAATCAATTCTGAAAGTTTAGAATGAGTCTATTGATGAACATGTACACGGATATGTGGGCACTGGATTCCGACCGGCCCCCGAAAAGTGGGCAGTGGGGCAGCCCGGACTTGACCAGGGGTCAGAACACACACCTGCTGGTGCTGCTGATCAGAGCACAGCCTCCTGCCCGAGTGCCGCTGCCAAGGCCATGAGCTGCAGCTCCCCAGCAAGGCCCAAGGAGAGGCCCACGCGCCATCCGCACACATTCCCTGCCTGTGCACATTAAGGGGAGGGGACTCTAATCTAAACCTAGCATCCTGACAGCCCCTGCCACAGCTGGAGGGTTGTTTGTTTTTTTTTTGGCAGGGGTGGTGGGGGTCAGCAGGGTTGAAAACATCTGCTCGGTGGCTCTGATGGCAGAAACCAGGGCCACTCTGAACCCTCGCCGGGTGGTGGTCTTTCATCAAAGCTTGATCCACCATCACCTTATGGCCACCGGAAGGACACGGTTTCACTCGGAATGCTGGGCAGAAAGCCCCGGCTCCCCCAACGGCTTACCGTTTTCTGGAAAGTACTACATATTTGACAACATTAGAAAATAACAGCGCTCATTTGTCTTTCCTTACAGACAATAAAGTTCAAGGGAAACAAAATGAGTTATTCACAGTTTCCAAAGCTTTCCAATATTCCATTACTTCCAATAGTTCCATTATTACTATTGTAATAATCACTCTAAGACTTGTTCCTAACAGGAACTGCATTACCATTAAGAAAAAAAAATCTCAACACAACTAAAATCCAGGGTATGCTGCATTCTTCTTCTTCTTTTTTTTTTTTTTTTTTTGCATTCAGCATGTATTGGTCTATTACGGAAGCTATTCTTAAGCATTTATTTTTTAAAAAAAGAATCATATTCACAATGTAGAACAAGTATATAAAATTAGTGTGCAAAGTTAATTGTAAAAGGATAACACTATTTGTTTAGAAACAAGCTGCCTCCCCTGTTTACATTTCCTTACTATTCATATAAACTGGAGGCTTATACTATTTAAAAATAATACTTTTTAAATAGTAAAATATACAAGAGATTCCTGAGCATAACAAAAATATCTTGAAAATATGTGGCCATTTGAAGTATAAAACAGCAAGTGTAAAGAATAGCATGATTGTAAAACTACTATTTGAAGGCTTATAAACAGTACAAAATAGTTTGCCTTTTCTGAGTGCATAATTATACATTAGTGCAAACAAAAACGTCTCAAAATTTAATGGCTACAGATCTTAAAGATTTGCAGAGGTGCGCAACACATGAAATTTCTTTAATGTCATTCGAACTGAGCCCAGTTCTCGATTAATCCTTTCCAAACGATCTTCCAAGGCTTCCTAAGGGGAAATCACAGGAGAAGTTGCGTCAGAATTCTACATCAGGTTCACTGGTTCTCTGATTACCACCAAACTGACCTTTCTTTTAGCAAAGGAGCAGGCAGAAACATTCAAATTACAGAGTTGTGTTTTTTACACATTTCCTCTTACTTATATTGTCTCTTTAAACAACGCGAATCAGGGTCTCAACCATTCAGAATAAATGCTGCACTCAGCACCCTAACAGCCCCAGTACCCTGCTGCTTGCAGGGTGTGAAAATCTCAGCAAGGGCAACGGGACCGTCGGCGAGAAGGTGACTCTCAGCTTCTGGGGCACTGAGGACAGACCAAGAGGAGCCCAGAGGCACTTTACACACGTCACCAGAAGAAACGGGTCAGTGCCTTATCCCACTTAGGTGTATGTCAAGCAACTTTCTTCTGACAAGAATGTCTAAGTTAAAAAAGAGGGAATACACTGGAGGAACTTCTTGCAAGAAACAAGAGATTTCACAAAGAATCAATGTAACAACTGCTATTTTTAAATAAGCAGTACATGGGGCGCCTGGGGGGCTTAGTGGGTTAAGCCTCTGCCTTTGGCTCAGGTAGTGATCTCAGGGTCCTGGGATCAGGCCCCACATTGGGGTCTCTGCTCAGCAGAGAGCCTGCTTCCCCCTCTCTCTCTGCCTGCCTCCCTGCCACTTGTGATATCTCTCTCTCTCTCTGTCAAATAAATAAATAAAATCTTTAAAATAAATAAATAAATAAATAGATAGATAGATAGATAGATAGATAAAAGGATCACCCGAGGGGAGCCTGGGTGGCTCAGTCGGTTAAGTGGCCGCCTTCAGCTCAGGTCCCTGGATGGAGCCCCAAGATGAGCTCCCTGGCTCGTGCTCTCTCTTACCCGCTCGCTCTCAAATAAAATCTTTATAAAAAATTAAAATAAAAAAATAATAAAAGGATCACACATTCATGATAAAATACTTAGAAGACAGAGGAGTAAAAATAACCAGTTCCTCTTTCCTGGGGATTTTGTGTAGATACCCACATCATTAAGAAGAAAAATAAAAACAGAATCAAATTCACTACTTCAAAACATTTTTCAACTGAACTTTCGTTATGAAATATCTTTCTATGATATTTTAAATTAGTGTGCAATATTCCATTAGATTTAACCAAAAATCTTTTATTTATTTTTTAAAGATGTTATTTATTTATTTGACAGAGAAAGAGACACAACTAGAGAGGGAACACAAGCAGGGGAAGTGGGAGAGGGAGAAGCAGGCTTCCCCCTGAGCAGGGAGCCCAATGCGGGGCTCGATCCCAGGACCCTGGGATCATGTCTTGAGTTGAAGGCAGACGCTTAACAACTGAGCAACCCAGGCGCCCCTAACCAACTATCTTTTAGTAGAAATTTAGGTTGCTTTTAATGTTGGATACCATAAATAATCCTGCAATAAATATTCTTAAAAAGGTTTCTTTGCACACATCTGTAAGCATTGCCTTAGGAATCATTCCCAGAAGAAAAATGCTTGGTCTGAAAAAATACAAAAATCTAAAGCTCTAGGGTGCCTGCGTGGCTATGTTAGTTGGGCAACTGCCTCCGGCTCAGGTCATGATCCCAGAGTGCCGGGATCGAGTCCCACATCGGCCTCCCGGCTCCATGGGGAGTCTGCTTCTCCCTCTCACCTTCTCCTCTCTAATGCTCTCTCTCAATGTCTCTCTCTCAAATAAATAAATAAAATCTTAAAAAAAAAAAAATCTAAAGCTCTGGATCTAGGTCAAACTATATTCCAAAAGGTTTTGTGACAATTTCCTCTTCCACCTGCCGTGTATAAGAACATGCTTTTCTACACCCTGTGTACTGTTTTAGTTTTTTTGGGGGTGTGTGTGTGTGTGTGTGTGTGTGTATGTTTAAATACCTGCCAATGTAAGGTTTTTGTTTTTGTTTTTAAATGATGCTTTTTTGGGGTGCCTGGGTGGCTTATTTGGTTGAGCAGCTGGCTCTTGGTTTCAGGTCATAATCTCATGGGTCATGAAATCAAGCCCTGGGTCAGGCCTCAGGCATCATGAGGAGAGTCTGCTTGAGATTCTCCCTCTGGCCCCTCCCCTAACCAGGGCCTGCACACTTTCTCTCAAAATAATTAAATAAAATTTTTTTTTTAAATTATGCTTTGGAGCACCTGGGTGGCTCAGTTGGTTAATTGTATGCCTGCTTAAGCATCTGCCTTCAGCTCAAGTCATGATCCTGTGGTCCTAGGACGGAGCCCCAAGTCAGGCTCCCTGCTCAGCAGGGAGTCTGTTTCTCCCTTTTCCTCTGCCCCTCCCCCAACTCATGCTCTTTCTGTCTCTCAAATGAATAAAATCTTCAAAAAATGAAGCTTTTGTACAAATGTGTAGTTTTTTACTCATGGGTGAGACTGAAATTATTTTTTTTTTTTTTTTTTGCCCAATTTTACTCTTTTCATTTACAAATCCTATAAAGCATCTTCAGTCCCTTTTCGCTGTCAATGGTCTCCTTACTGGACAAACAGCTTTGACATGTATGAACAGGATCTACTCCCTTTTAAGTTACTTTAAAAGCTTACAATCATTATATAAAAATATATTAAACAAATGTTTCAGATAAGTTTGGAATCAAGAGTATCTACAAGTTTTCCTTCTGCCTTCCCAATAGGAAGAAGAGTTTCATGTGTTGAGTCTTATAAATTATTGACTAAGGACTTTGGGACCAACAAAAACAGTAACAGACTTAAAGTCTTAAGGAGAAGTTAGGCATGTAGGCCCAAGGAAAGACCTCTGCTGTTTTCTTTGCTTTTTTTTCCTTCTGGTATCACAGATCAATCTGAAAATGAATTTTTCCTGAAGTTAAAGCACTGAAAAGCCAAAACATGCAGTTATGTAAGAGACATATCCTTGTTGTTATGCTTAAAATGTTACAAAAAGAGCAGATTTTCAACGTCCCATGGCTTCATGCATTTTGATTCTCTCTGGAAAGCAACTAAAAAAAGTGCACATGAGCCGCTTCGCCTGCACCATCTCCTGCTCAATAATGGAATCACATCTCTCTCTCTCTCTCTCTCTCTTTTTTTTGACGATTTTATTTATTTGAGAGAGCAAATGCACCCAAGCGTAAGCAAGAGCTGGGGGAGGGGCAGAGGGAGAGGGAGAAGCAGACTCTCCGCTGAGCAGGGAGCCCAACACGGGGGTGCTGGATCCCAAGACCCCCGGGATCATGACCTGAGCTGAGGGGAGACACCTAATGTAAGATCTGTTCAAAGCTATATTGCATAGTGGCAGGAACGTCTTTTTCAATAAGTATAAAGGAAAAATCACTTTTTACTCCAGAAAGCCACAGTGCAGTTCTAAAATATACTATAATCACCAAAGACTTCCTAAAAGGCTAAAAGTCTGGCCCAGTTGCTTCAGGGCGCCTAACACGTCATCTCGGCTAAATGAGCACCAGCCCGCACCACGCCGCCAGCGCAGATTCAAGCTAAGATGGTTCACCTGGTTTAATCTTGTCTGCAAAGTGATTCGTCCTCCAGTAGAAGGCATTCGACTTAGCGCCGCCTCAATCTGTTGACACACAAACAAAATTTAAATAAAAACAGAAGAATTCTGATGAGTGGCAGGGACGTCTGTAACAGAATGGAAAGGACAGGCTTCGGCCTAGTACTTCCTTGTCCGCCTGGCCTTCACCTCCGCTCCCCCTGCCCTGGTCAGCAAGGACAGCTCAGCTCAAACTCGCTCCCAGCACGGCTTTGCTGTGCAAGCCATAGAAGCTTCTGGCACCGGCTGACTCCGTAATTCCCTTCTGACTATTCCTCAGACATAGGCATTAAGTTCAGAAAAAGGTTTTTTTTTTTTTTGGTTTTTTTTTTAAGTTTTTGTTTGTTTTTACCTGGTCTTTTTCTTTTGTAAGTTCATCAAAAAACCGTTCCGTTTCAGCTAGGGTCCTAATTTTTGCTGTATACTCAAAATCATTACCATGTGGTGCTACTGACGCAGGCTTACACTGTTCATAGCTAACTGATTTATTCTTCTCCCAGGCTGATCTCACAGACACTTTCTTCACTCCATTTGGCAACAGTTCGGGAGAAGGGCTATGATTAGCATGGATGTCGGTGGCTGTTTCTGAGTATTTTTTTTCTGTCAGAGAGAAAAGGATTTTCTTTTACTTTATATCCATCTTCCTGATCGATCATATACATAACTATATATGTTATCTAAGGGCTGCCACATGCCAAAAAAAGTAACAAAAAGAAACACAATAATCATATTTATTAGTCAGTGCTTTTCCTCCACAGAATTCTAAAAGTTTTGCTCTCGGTTGGACAATCCGTACAACGTCCCTAAGAGAAGGTATATAAACTTTCTGTAAGCTCAAAAGAACTTCAATTAAACTTAAAGCAAAAAAAAAAAAGTTAAGCGCTAAGCTCACATTTAGCGGACACAAACCCGAACCAACAGTGCAGAGCCAGCATCTTACGGGGCCTGCCCAGGTGACTCATATGCATTATCTTGTACTTTATTCCAAACTTCCAAGATAAATGAGAAAAAAGAAAAAAAAAAAAATAACCCGCTGCCCAAGTTGCACAGAAATGCCAGAACATAAAAGAGAGAAATGGAACAGTACGGCTCTGGTAAGTAAGCATTAACAATGTCTGTACCTCAGTTTCCCAACTTTTCTATCAGGATAATAGCCCTGACACATAATATGAGCCGCACCAATGCGTGTTCTTAGAGGCCCTTGGGCAGAAAAATTTTTTAAGTGCAGGATATTACACTATTAAGGACCTTGGAAAGATAACAGAAATTCACAAAATGACTGACTAAAACCATAACTAGTAATTTTTTAGGAAAAGATACCTTCCAAGTCATCTAGAGGAAGAAACTGGAGTTGTTTTCTTGGATTGGTACGTTGTAAAGCAGACACAGGAACAGTATCTAAATCATCCAAAAGTATATCAAATCTATTGAATGAAGCAAGTTACTTGTGAGAAAAAAATGTTAATTGGTTTTCCCTATCTCCACTAGAAAGCTGAGCTGGTGTCCGGTTAACTCACATATTCATGTATTTTTTTAAAAGAAAGCTGGTCATGTAATTTTCTAAAACTGAAGCTTAATTTATATTTTCTAACACAAAATTATATTCATGTATTAGAGACTTAAAGCATTTACCCATACATTAACTCCTCCAATCTTTATAATAAGTTATAATATACGCGGGCCAAGTATTATTATCCCTGTTTTACAGAAAAGGAAACTGAGGTTCACTGTGCTTAAGGAATTTCTCAAGAGCCTGACCGAGCCAGGTGGCCAGCTCTTACAGCGTAGGGATCCACGGCCCCCCACAGGAGCACGTCCTGTGACCACGCTGCTTCAGAAAGAGGACAACTGTCCCAAGCACCCAGGAAACTTACACATATTGCCAGGGCCCTCCCAGGACAGCCCCGCTCTCTTATACAAATGGCTCAAAAATCGCCCTGTATCATAAACCTTTTCAGGAAAACAAAGAATTGTCATTCTATACCCAAAAGCTGGAAGGGACTCTGACGCAGTACTTAAACTCAATAGTAGCCAGTTTCCATAGTTAAAAACTGTTTTCATGGATTACAGTACTTTTTTATTTTTATTATGACATTCATTTAAATGATTTAAATCCACAGGGTTCCCACTGGCAACTGAAAAATTAGTGATAACTATAGGCATAAGCTGACACTTTAAAAAAATCACTAATATTTTATTCTACTATTTTAGAGAACTTACCGAGTTGGACTGCTTTCATTTTTGCTCAGTAGATGACTAAATCCTGGAGAGAGATTTTCTTTTGGGGATCGCTTTGGACTATAAGCCACAGTCACTGGCGTTAACATAATCTCTCTTTTTGCTACAGAAGAAAATGAAGAGGAAATTCACTTTTCCTTCTATACAATACATATATTGGCAAGAGCATACTTCCTTTCTCAGTACTCTTTTCTAACTTTAATGGAATACAATTTTATTATAAAACTTTCTGAAAGATAAGTAAGAGCATACAAAATTAAAAATAATTCATAATCCTAACACCTAGAGGGAACTACTATCAACATTTTAGTGTATCCGACTGCAGGGTCAGCACTCAGACTCAAAACTGGTTTTTCAGGATTTTAGAAGTCGACTGGAAATAAGATGGAAACACCAGTGCCCAGCGCACATTCCCGTCACACGGGGACACACAATCGCTGGCGCGCACTCCAGTCACACAGATACACACCAACGCTGGCTCCCACTCCCATCACACGGGGACACACACACTCGCTCCATCACACGGTGGGGAGGGGGGAACGACACAGAAATATCTTCAGCTGTTCTGAATATGAAAATCAAGAAAACAGAAATCCAATGCCTAACCTTTAGAACCGTAACTGTAACTGACTAAAGAAACCAGACGTAACTATATATGCAAAGAAGCATCTTTTCCAGGTTAAATTAGTTTAAATTAATTTGTTTGAACTAACGTTTAATTAGATAGTTGTCAACGCTCTCAAAAACCGTGAAATGGCATAAGTTGCAAAAAGGAATCTGCTGGACACACACAAAACAGTATGCCGTGATAATTTCTTCACCTATTGTCACAGCGTCTGTACAGTCAGATGGTATTACTGAGCAAGACCCTTTTTAGGGACCCTGTTCTCAGAGTATTCTAGTAGGTGCTAGAGAACATGAGGGAAAAAGAACATCAGACGTGTGTGCACAGCTCAGATGCCACTCTTTTGAGCCCAGGAGACATATTACATCTAACCCTTACTTGGGGTACTTGATTTACGAGTTGAAGGTGGTAAAGACGACGATCTCTGTGAAGCTGAGTTAAATCTCTTCTGCCTCTGTTGGGCACATTTCTCTGGGGACCGACCCGCACTGACTGACGTTTCCGTTTGCCGAGGATTTGCTAATTCTGTAACAGACAAATTGTTAAAAAGTCAACAAACAAAACAAACCTGAGCCAGTTAGCTGCCTTTATTAAGAAATGATTACACCAAGCAAGCCATTCTCATTATCCAGGTTAGAATGATTATTTGCAAATACACACTGTAAGGATTAAAAAATGCTTGATGAAGAACAAATGTGGGGGTTTATAATGAATTCATTCTGGCTCCCTGTTTACAATTGCCATTCACGGCGATTTTTCAAGAGAGATTATTTTTAGGAAGTTACTGATTTATTTACTAGCAGATACTTCTTTGGAGATGCAATGCCCGAGATTGGACAATGGAATCAGCAGACCCGATCAAGTGAGCACTGGAGTGAGTACAAAGAGATGTGAGCACTGGTGAGCTGTTGAGCAAGGTACTTCCTGGGGTGCTCAGTGGGTTCAGTTGGAAAAACATGTGACTCTTGATCTTGGGGTTGTGATATCGAGCCCCACATCGGATGTAGAGATTACTTAAAAATAAAAAAATAAAATTATCTTTAAAAAGGGGGGGGGTGCGCCTGGTGGCTCAGATGGTTAAATGTCTGCATTCAGCTCTGGTCATGATTCCAGGGTCATGGGATCGAGTCACGCAATAGGGCTCCTTACTCAGCACGGAGCCTGCTTCTCCCTCTGCCTCTACTGTTTCCCCTGCTTGTACTCTCTCGCTCTGTCAGATAAGTAAACAAATTCTTAAAAAAAAAAAAAGATACTTCTTGTCTTCCTGAGAGATGCTCAGTAACCAAGAAAGGGAGAGTAAAAAACACTACACCAGGGGTGCCTGGGTGGCTCAGTGGGTTGAGCCTCTGCCTTTGGCTCGGGTCATGATCCCGGCGCCCTGGGATCGAGCCCCGAGTCGGGCTCTCTGCTCAGTGGGGAGCCTGCTTCCTCCTCTGCCTCTCTGCCTACTGTGATCTCTCTCTCGGTTAAATAAATAAATAAAATCTTTAAAAAAAAAAAAAACACTACACCTCACTTTATGAATACTAAATGTCTATCATAACTTTCCAATGACAAACTGATGTAGAAAATTTCCAAATATCTTTAAGAACGCTTCATAAATCTTTACTAATCAGAACATAGGGCGCTGGGTTGCTCAGTCCTTAATTGTTTGCTTTTGGCTCAGGTCTAATCCCAGGGTCATGGGATCAAGTCCCGCATTGGGCACTCTGCTCAGAGGGAGGCCTGCTTGTCCCTCTCCCTTTGCCTGTCTTTACCCCTGCTTGTGCTCTTTCTGTCAAATAAAATAAAAATAAAATCCGGGGCACCTGGGTGGCTCGGTCGTTGGGCATCTGCCTTCGGCTCGGGTCATGATCCAGGGGTCCTGGGATCGAGCCCTGCATCGGGCTCCCTGCTCAGCGGGGGGCCTGCTTTTCCCTCTCCCACTCCCCCTGCTTCTGTTCCCTCTCTCGCTGTGTCTCTGTCAAAAAAAAAAAAAAAAAAGGGGGCACCTGGGTGGCTCAGTGGGTTAAAGCCTCTGCTTTCGGCTCAGGTCATGATCCCAGGGTCTTGGGATTGAGCCCCACATCGGGCCCTCTGCTCAGCAGGGAGCCTACTTCCCTTCCTCTCTCTCTGCCTGCCTCTCTGCCTACTTGTGATCTGTCTAATAAATAAACAAAATCTTTAAAAATAAATCTTTAAAAAAATAAATAAGACAAATAAATAAAAATAAAATCCTTAAAAAAAAAAGAGTGTAACATGTAGTCTGCCTTGTATAAAAGCAGCAAGTTATGCCATGACTGCAATAGATTAGGAGCCAGAGTATTTAAGGAAGGTGATATAATTGGGGGCAAAGAGGAAGGTATCTATAATCTATTATCTATCTATATCAAGCAAGGAAAAAATGCTTACTATTTGAGGTGTCCTCTTTCTCTGTCTGTGTGCCCCAATTTTTAAATATTTTTCCTTCATCAAGTTCTTTTAAAGCTTTCATGACTGGTGTATCTGAAGTCTCTCTTTGTTTTGTTATCGATAAGCTTCTTGGTGAACTTCCAGATGAAGAATCCTTTTCCGGAGGAGAATGGTACCTTAAATAATAATGTAAGACATGCAGTGCTATGAACTGAGTATTTGTGCCCCCCAAAACACTCGTATGTTGAAGCCCCAATCCTCAGTGGATGGTGTTAGGAGATGAGGCCTTGGGAGGTGATTAGATTTAGATGAGATCATGAGAGCAGGGGGTCCTTTGCTGGGATTAATGCTCTTCTAAAAAAGATGTCTGCACACATTCACCGAGGAAAGACCAAGACCCAATAACCCGGAAGAGGGCCCTCACCAAGAACCCAACTGCGCTGACACCCCAATCTCAGACTCAGCCTCCAGAACATCAGGAAAAAGTGTTTCCTGTTGAAGCTGCCGGGTCTACGGTGATTTCATAGAGCAGGCTGAGCTAAGACAGAGGTTCCTGGCCCTGTAAGGGGAATGACATGAGAGCTAACAATTACACTCCACAAAGAGTATGTCTGCTTTACAACGCAAATACACTAAAATTGAACCTGTGTGTAACAGACCAGTGCTTCCCAATCCTCTTCACACCCCGGCACATACAGAAGTATGGTACTTCCGTGGAGCTCTGGAGTAATCTGGTTGCGTGGGCTGTGAGAGGGCGAACACCTTAGCCTAACTGAGAGACTGTGCACAGCACACTGTCCTGTCAGGGGCACGGTGGGGGAACCCTCTGCCCGGCCTTTGATCAGAAAGCATCTGAAACCCATTAGCTTTTCAAAGTAAAATAAAAATCTGGTCCTCAAAAGTAAGACACTGAAGCCACGAAGAGAAGGCTCTTTTAGACCTTCCCGGACATTTAAAAGCGACTGAGATCTATGAAACCGTAACCGAGCCTCAATCTGACCTCTAACAAAACTACCTACCCAGGAGCACAGGTTTCCACCAGCTGGTCATCCATTCTGTTATCCGGGGCGTCCAAAGGCTGGCCGGTAAAGATGGAGTACTCCGCCCCTGGGATCAGCCACTTGCGCCTGCTGACGTCGGAGGTGGCCAGTGTGCTAGGACAGGGAGAAACGATCTGAGGCATGATGGGCTCATGTTTCAGTTCACGCTGAACACATACACAGAGCACCCTGCTTTGAAACGGTATGTACACATTTGTACAGTAATTCCAAAACTGCAAGAAGCCCCCTTATTTTAGATACACGAATTCTTATTTTATGGTTTTCAGAGCCAACCGAAGTCTTATTTTAGGTTTCTGTTCCTTCGGAATATTTCTGCATCTCAGTCAAGGTATTCTGTCTACACAGATCTGAACATCAACTAACTTCCTACCGCACTTTCTATGCTTCACACCCAACCCACAGCTCAGGCCCAGGAGGTGTATCGAGAGGGCCCTTCTTGCTCCTCCCAGACCAGCACTGCCCGGGAGAATTTCCTGTGAAAACAGAAACCTCCTCTACCTGCACAGCCCGACACGGCAGCCACTAGTCACATGCTGCCCAGTGGCTCGTGAGATGAAGAACCAATCTTTAAATGTTATTTCATTTTAATGACCTTAAATGTAACAAGCCACACATGGTGACCAGCACCACGTACTGAGTAGTGCAGCTGGAGGCCAGGCCTCCCCTCCTATGGAAACCCTAACCCAACTAAGGCTCACCCTTCGGGCATTAACTGGCACTGAGCTAGACTTCCAAACCGTTCTCACCTTCTCCGCACCTGCTCCTGCCCACCTGCTTCACTGTCCATAGGAGGAGCTGCCCGGATCTCTCTGCAATGCCTAGACTCGGGCTCCTGCTTACTCGTTCCCCTCCCCCAATGGAGAACATTCACTGGACTTCATCATCACTAGAGAACACATTCCCTTGAGAAATCCCAACTCTGGGGGCACCTGGGGGGCTCAGTGGGTTAAAGCCTCTGCTTTCGGCTCAAGTCATGATCCCAGGATCCTGGGATCGAGCCCCGCATCGGGCTCTCTGCTCAGCGGGGAGCCTGTTTCCCTTCCTCTCTCTCTGCCTGCCTCTCTGCCTACTTGTGATCTCTGTCAAATAAATAAATAAATAATCTTAAAAAAAAAAAATCCCAACTCTGAAGGTTCTTTCGGCTAAGGTGCTCAAGCATCACCAAGGCTCTGTGACCCCAAGGCCTATGACCCCTGGCCTCACCATTTTCGACTGATCAACCCCTCCCCTAGCTTCGCCAGTTCCCCTCTACCTACTCCGGGGTGCATGGTTACTCACTGCTTTAACCCCCTTTCCACACTCACCTTCCATCACTCCTGACTGGCAACAGAGACCTAAGCCTGGAGGAACACGGTGGTCTCACTCCTGAGTGTCTACAGTCCTCCATTTAGGCTTTGCTGGAAAGCAAGCCACCCAACCGCACGGCCTAGGCTAGCACGAGAGTGGTTATTACCATCTCATGGACACCCAACACGGCTGACAACATACCTTTCCGTAATCAGCACGCTCCAATTCTCCACCAGAACTCTCCCTCACACCTTCTCCACTCTCCTCCCACCTCTCACCCTGCTCTGCCAGTCACTTGATAGCCTCGCATCACACTTGGGAGGGAAAAAAAAAAAACAGGAGACAAGAGGTATCTCCCTCTCTCTGCTCCCTGCCACAGCTAAACCTCTTACGACTTCCCTCCTCATTTTTATTTCAACTCCCAGTCACTCCCTTCCTTTTTCCCTCGATTTTCTTTTTTAAAGATTTATTTATTTGACAGAGATCACAAGTAGGCAGAGACAGGCAGAGAGAGAGAGGGGAAGCAGGTTCCCTGCTGAGCAGAGATCCCGATGCAGGGATTGATCCCAGGACCCTGAGATCACGACCTGAGCTGAAGGCAGAGGCTTAACCCACTGAGCCATCCAGGCACCCCTTTCCCTCGATTTTTAAATTAAATTAAACATTCTAAACGTCCTTAGAAAATTACAAAGACTACTGCAAGCACTCGCCTGTACTTAGTTTTAACAAATGCTAACATCTTACCATATTTGTTTTCAACATTAAGACAGAAGATTCTGCATGAAAGGTCATTTTTAAAATTATGTCCACATATTTTTAAAATTATGTCCACATAATGCACACGTCCTTGTGATGCTGCTGTTTCTACTCTACACGCTTCAGATTTCTCCATGTTAACACAGACAGGGGCGTGATTTGAACTATTTACCCACAGTACAAATATGCCACATCTTACAGATCCTTCCTCCTGTCGGTGGGTATTTTAGTTTCTGATGCATCACCTTTCCACAATGCTGTGATTAACACGTGTAGGAATTCCTGAGGTAAATATCCAAAACCAGAACTGTGGAATTTGGGGTGCACACATCTTCAGTCTTACTGGATATTGTCAACTCACACTCCAGACGAGCTTATTGATTTTCAGTCCAACCAGTAGCAGGAGAGTTCCTGTTCCTTCACATCTTTGCAAAATTTGCAATGATTAGCCCTGGAGTCTGGCCTGGCCTGTCTGATGGTGTGAGGGGTAGCCCATGCTATTTATTTATTAATTTGCATTTTTCTGATTACTAGCAAAATGAACTTTTCAATTTTATCAGCCATTTAGAGTTTTTTTCCCCTGTGAATCATCTGTTCATACTCTTTTATCATTTTTCCACTGAGAATTTTTCTTATTGATTTATAGTTCTTTACATCCTAGATATTAATCTCTTGTTGGTTCCTGTTCACTTAAAATATAAAATATTTCAGGCGTGCACAGACATACAGATTATACTCCTGCACAACCATCTGCTTGTGAACCCTGTTTGCTCTATGTCTGTGAACAATGGAACACTACAGACACAACCCAAGCGCCCTGTGGACCTCACCGGTATCGATCCTCCAATGTCATAACCTTAGTGTAAGTGCTCAGCCACCACTTCCACTAAATTCATATTCAACATTCCACACACCTCATATTTTTACTACTTCTGTATGAACCTGTAAGATACGTTGTAAATGCCAAATCAATATAAATAGGACCCTACTTCTTCTGCGACTGGTTTTTTGTTGTTCCAAATTATGTTCTCAGGATTAAATCAATGTTAGAGGAGTGTCTGGGAGGCGTAGTCAGTCAGTTAAGCATCCAACTCTCGGTTGCAGCTCAGGTTGTGATCTCAAGGTTGTGAGATCAAGCCCCGCACTGGGCTCCACACTCAGCGTGGAGTCAGCCTGAGATTCTCCCTCCCTCTGCCCCTCCTACTCGGGCTCTCTCCCCCTCTCTCTCCAATAAGTAAATAAATCTTTAAAAAAAAAAAAAAAAGATTAAACCATGTTAGCAATCAACTTAAGTGGCTGGCAAATTTTTTCCTACAAAGACTCAGAGAATAAATAGGTTTTTGTTTTGTTTCATTTTAATAAATAGGTTTTATGGGCCAGATGGTCTCTGTTCCAAGTACTCAGATTTGCCACTGTCGTGCAAAGCAGCCAGACAATAGGTAAATGACTGAGCTTTATTTATGGACACTGAAATTTGAATTTCATATCATTTTCACATGTATGAAATACTATTCTTTGGATTTCTTCCCAAACATTTAACAACATAAAAACTGCTCTTTGCTCATGAGCCCTACAAGCATGGGCAGCAGACTGGACTTGGGCTAGGGCTGTGCTTGCCAATCCCTGACCTAATGTACACACCATCACACTGCAGAGCCCCGTGCGTAAGTATATCACAGTATATGAATGTTCCAGCTGTCAGACATACAGGCTGCTTTCACTCACTCAGCACAACATGCCCAGCAGATGTTCACATCTGTCCCTCCACACAAACCACTCTCCAGGCCATCAAGGCCTGGCTGGCGCACCTAAGGGTCACTAGTCCCCTCACTTGCTCTCTCAGCAGCGACCACACCGCTGGCCACTTCAGAGTTCCCCCTAACTCCCTAGCAGTCCTCAGGTTCTCGGGCCAACTCCTCTGGCCCCAGCATCGAAACATCGGGCTTCTCCTACACCAAACTCCCACCACACGCCCATCACCTATCCTAGGATCAAGCACTACAGAATGAGAAATTCTAAAATTTGTAACTCCAGCCTAAGGCTTTATTTCTATAGAGTTCCAAATGCAAATTTATAATCACCTGCTGGATTCCCACTTGGAATTCATATGAATCTCAAACTAAAATATTTGAAATAGAAATTCTGATCCTGACCCCATGGTCCGCTCTTCCCATTTCTTCCCTAGTTCAGTACGTGGCACCCTGAGTTGCTCCAGACAGAAACCAAGGTGTTATCAGACACCTCCCTTTCTTATTGTCACCTCATTCTTTAAAAAAAAAAAAAAATTTATTTATTTATTTGACAGAGAGAGACAGCGAGTAAGGGAACACAGCAAGGGGAGTGGGAGAGGGAGAAGCAGGCTCCCCACTGAGCAGGAAGCCTAATGCGGGGCTCCATCCCAGGACATTAGGGTCATGACCTGAGCCGAAAGCAGATGCTTAGCAACGGAGCCACCCAGGCGCCCCTTGCCATCTCATGTTCTGTGGATTTTACCTCCAGTATGTCTCTCAGACTCTTGTCTTCTGTCCATTTCTATGGCCACCACCCAGTGAATACCATCTTTCCTCATACCACAATCGCCTAAATAGTATGTCTGTTTCTACTTTTCCTCTCCATCTTCTCCTCATGGCAGGTGTGTTAAAACACAGAAACTGGAGGGCACCTGGGTGGGTCAATCGTTAGGCAGCGGCCTGTGGCTCAGGTCATGATTCCGGGGTCCTGGGATCAAGCCCCGCATCGGGCTCCCTACTCCACAGGAAGCCTCCTTCTCCCTCTCCCTCTCCCACTCCCCCTGCTTGTGTTCCCTCTCTCACTATGCGTCTGTCAAATAAATAAAATCTTTATTAAAAAACAAACAAAAACAAACAAACAAACAAAAACAAAGAAATCAGGGGCGCTTGGATGGCTCAGTCAGTTAAGCGTCTGACTCTATTTTCGTTCAGGTCATGAGACTGTGTCCCGCAATGGGCTCCACACTGAGCATGGATCCTGCTTAAGATTCTCTCTCTCTCTCTCTCCCTCTGTCCCTTCCACCCCCTTCCTGGGCATGCTTGCCCTCTCAATAAAGAAAGAGAGAAAGAGAGAAGGAGAGAAAAGAAAAGAAAAGAGAAGATAAGAAAAGAAAAGAAAATGGAAAAGAAAAGAAAGAAAAGGGGAAAAAATCAGATGACCTAATTTTACCACATAAAACCTTTCAAAGTCTTCCCCACAGACTTAGAGTAAAATCCAAACTCTTGACCAGGGCTTAGAAAGCGACATGTGACAGTCTGATTTCATCTGGACCTCCTTCACCCCTGCTAGCAATATTCAGGCCACACAAGTTTCATCCAGGTTCTTTAAACATGTTAAGCTCTTTCCTACCTCAAGACTAGCAAAGCTCATTTCTCTGAATGAACATGCCCCTCCCCCATGCCTCCCACACCAATGACTCAGCACAGGCCTCATCACCCTGCTTACAAAGTCACCTCCACAGAAAGACCTCCCTTGACCCCAATTCTCATTCCATTCTTGTTCTCTCTCAAATGTTCGATTTCAATAACTTATAAAATATTTTCTTTAAATAATTCACTATGTTCTAACTTAAGGTCAATGAACAAAGATCTAGAGAAAGTTTCTCATTTGACAATGACTTAGAAAGGTTAAAATTTACAATTTAACAATCTTTCTCATACACATCACTATCACGACCTTATGATCTACTCATTTAGTATTCTTTACAAAATGATAATAAAAACCAATCTCATATAAAAAAACTACTCTATAAATGTATCATGAAGATAATGCTCTGAGATTATAGCAAAGCTAATTTTGAATAACTAAAAAAACTAAATAGAAAAATCCATAGAACCTAAGGAAGATCTATTTTCATAGGTCTGCCCATTAACATAGGAATAAAATTTCTGGAATTTTAGGGTTAAAAGACCTTTTGAGATGTTCTAGCTCAATGTCCTTGTTTTCAGAGATAATGAAGTCGAGCTCCAAAAAAACCTAAGAGATTTGCTTAAGGTCACACAGCTGGGAAGAGTCAACAAAACATTCCAGGTCTCTTTATACCTAATCTGATTCTATTTCCTCCTTTTGGCACATGCCTCCACATGAGAGGTTTTATGATATCTAATAATTAGATGGTTTTACTTTTTTGTTTTTTAAGCAAGCTATGCGTCCAATGTGGAGCTCCAACTCACCACCCCGAGTCGTATGCTCTACTCACTGAGCCAGCCAGGTGCCCCGAAATTAGATGTTTTTACACATCTAAGTTCTATAATGACATTGAACTCTGACTTCCTTATGACTTAGACAGATGAGCTTCTCAGTTCAATAAAAGGGTGTACCTATTTCTGGCTTTACAGAGATTAAGCAAAATAACTTACTTGGCACGTGAGGCTCTCATGGGAGTTTTCGAATTATGGCGAAGACTTAACATATTTTCATGCTCTACTTGCTTGACCTGAGCTTCAAGTTTTGAAATTGTTCTAATTCAAAAGTAATAAGATAAATTAAGTACACATTTAAAATATAGCTCAACTACAAATTACTTATTTAACAGACACTTCTAGAAAAATGGTGACAGAAGAACTGCTGGTCTTAAAGCCTGTTTTCATAGTAAAATGCCACCAATAAGCTTAAAAAAGCTGAGCAAAACTGGAACATACACTGAAAGGCAAACACATTAAACTATACAAGGAAACACAAATGGACTTTATACAGACAAGTTTAAAAGATTTATAAATCTGATTACAGATCAAAACTCATGGTATAAATTAAATTAAAAAATAAAATAAATTCAAGTACTCAAAGTGCAACTCTAACGTGTTTAATTCTAAACATATATATCCACGCATATAAAATATAGATGGTAATGTTTTCACAAAAAAGGAAGCAGGTTTAACATCCAATAAAAGAGCCAGTAAGAACTTCCTAGTTTTTAAAAGATACAAAGGCTAAACAATCCCCCAAATTCTCTGTCTACAAGCAATTCACCTCATCTGTGCCATGTTCAGAATAAAAGCCTATTTTCAAGTTCACCAACAGAAAACAGGACTCGGGCCAATTAATTGTTTTGAGGTTATCTTGGCATTCTTTCTGTTCTTTTAAATTTTGCATGTCTTTGTCTCATCTTGTAAGCTCAAAATCTTGCCTACCCTGATGCAAGGAAGGTTTGAGAAAGAACAGCTCTAACGGGCTGACGCTTTATGGCAATCTGAGATAAGGAAGCTATTGGCATAACTGAATGCATCACAGAAAAGACCTGGGCGGATGAGAGGGCCAGACAGCATTCACATTCTCCCAGATGGGAAGTCCTGCGGAGAGCAGTACAATCTCCAGTTAAGGGCCACATCTCCAAATACAAAGACGTGCTCCAAAGCCAATTAGAAATATCTAATCATTTGCATAGGGACGATTTATGACTCTGTTTCTATCTAACTAGGCAAATCAGATCATGAATATAGTCCCCACACCAGGTTTTTAAGAAAGTAGATGTTCATAAAGTTGGGGTGAATGTTGTTCTCTTTTGGGAGCACAAATAAAATTTAGTGAACTAGACTGCTTGTTAAAATTCTTTTTTGTCTTTTTTTTTTTTTTTTTTTTTTGACAGATTTCCAATGGTTTAGTATCATTTAGATTTTGCTATGCTGACAAAGCACATGATGGTTCAGGAAACGTACACTCCTCAAGCCCAACCACCAATATACTCTAACAGTTTAAAAATCTCCTTTGGCTAAAATCAAATGTATTTCCAGGTCAGGGGAAGATTAGGATAAAACCTGATCTCAAAATGCCTAAAAACCCTCAAGAAAAACTTTCTTTCATTGCTTTCAGTACAGACACATAGTCAGATGTTAAAAGAACAGAGGCAATAATTATCTTATTAGTGAGACAATACATTTTACCTTTTCAAATCAGAAATCTGAGTGTGTGCATCCAGCAATTTGTTCTCAGTTGTATTTAATGTATCCTATGAAGATAAAGGAAAAATTCAGTAACTGAAATAGGGTAGATTGTTTTTATTTTAAAATACATAATACAAAACCAATCTAAGGCTACGCCAGAGAGCTACAAAAAAAATCATGCGGATACTCAGCAAAAAGGGAGCATCAACCACGAGCCAGTACATGTAATTCAAGGGAGAAACCGAGAGAACAAAACACTGGCTTACACCAAGAGCTGTGTGTATAGCCCGTGTAGTAACAGGTACAGCCTATCATGCTCTGCTTGATTACAAGCAATCCAGGGTTAAAATGGACATGTTTTAGCCACAACTTGCCTAAAAACCTCAGTAAACGACAAACCAGAGAGCTGTGCTGGTGAGATTTCAGATGTCCTGACTGGCTCCTGAGCCCCCAGAATGCCTCCCTGTCTTCCTCTAACCTTGAATGGCTGCTACCCTGTAGTCCATGCGGCAGAAATGCTTGGGGCCCCACTTACAGCATCGCTGTGGGGTTTCACTGAATTCAAATATCTCATTCCCAAACAAAGCTTTCATTAAGAAAGCAAACATCATTGATAAATTCAAACAACCCCATAAAAAGTGAATACTTTAAAAAACTTAATATTTAAATATTATGAAATAATTATTTACATCTATATCATACCTTACACTCTTCTAAAAATTCCATCTCATCTCAAACACAACAGCCATTCAATATTTGTTAACACATCCAAAAATGATTGACTTAAGTGGGCAAATATTTGAGAATAAGGACACTGACAGAGAAGATGAAGTAAGTGGTCTAACTCAAGCAGCTGGAGGGGGATGGAGGGTGGGGAGAACAGAGGGAGATAAAGGGTAAGCCCTCTTCATTTCCAACCCAGGGCTTCTGCCCCTCCATGAAACTCAGAACATGAATCACCAACCATTACCTTTACTCGTTCGTGCTCTTTTCCCAGGGACTCATACTCTCCTAAGAGCTACAAGAAAAAAACAAAGAAATGTACCATAAAATTAAACATTATAATATCAACTCAGATAGTCTATAAAATAGCTCCCTGTACTCTTCAAAAATGCTAAGGTCTTGAAATAGAAAAATTAACACTCTGTTCCAGATTGAAGGCAACTAAAGAGATAAGAGGAGTGAATATAAGGTATGATTCTGGGTTGGATCCTGAACCAGGAAAAAAGTGCCATAAAATAATAATTTAGATGTCAAATGCACATTTAATTACTTTGATTTGTTCTGTGACTATGTACAGAAGATCCCTGTTCTTATGAAATACATATCAAAAGGGAGGGGTAAAGGGGGAGAACATCTACGGCTTACTCTCACATGGTTCAAGAAAAAAAATGCACATGTAAACGTACATGCGGGAGCTGATAAAGCAAATATGGCAAATTGTTAACAACTGGGATCCTAGGTAAAAGGAACAGGACATTCTTACAAGTTTTCTGTTAATCTGAATGTTTCAACATAAAAACAAAAATTATATAGTATCAGTCAAGACCCTTCAGGTAAGCAGTATTTTAAAAGATTAAAATTTGCTTTCTTCTGTGAATTGTATACTTCTTTTGGATAAATTCCATACAGTAAAGGCACAATCCCAAATCTAATATGATTAGGTAATTTCTTTGAAAATACGTATTACGTGAGACTTACTAAAGAAGACAGAGTCCAAGAATTTTCTTTTTATCCCAAGATCCAACTCAAGTGACAATGCGGCAGTTATAGAGAAATCAAGAGTTGAGGGTAACAAAGGAGAGATCTCAATAAGGCTATAATAAGGCATAGCAGGCTGTAAGCTTTAGTGCCTGTGTATGGGACGCTAACGGTTAGCAGGCCAATGTCTTCATATCCCGAGAGGCTCAGGACCTGAATGTCAGGTTCAGTAGCAGACACGGTGCAAGCACAGGCTGACGAAAGGGAGCTGGTTTAAAGTCCTTAAGCTGAGAGGCTAGAGCCTAGAACAACAGTGCACTGCCCAGCCAGGCGACAGGACACAGGAAATGTGAATGAGACACACATGGCATTCCAGAAGCCCATGTCTAACATGTGGAGGAAGCAAAGGGTAAGGAGATGATGACCAAGGAAGAGTTAAAACAAAACAAAACTTGGCTCCCCATCCCTTACTGCCAGCAGAGTCTCCTAATGGCTTCTGACTGCCTCCCCCTTAAATGTGAGTCTACAGTAGAAGAACCAACATTCTTTTAAAAAAGCAAAAATATTCAATATGAAGCGGACTTCAAAATGAAAGTTTAACTCAAAAGAAGTAATAAATCAAAACTAAAGAAAGCATTAAAAGAAAGCTATTAATCTCTTCAGTGTTCTATACATAATAAAACAAGACCAGAAACCAGTGAAAAACTAGCAACTGAAGAACAAGAAACAGCTCTTGGAGTGCCTGGGTGGCTCAGCAGGTTATGCCTCTGCCTTTGGCTCAGGTCATGATCTCAGGGTCCTAGGACGGAGCCCCACATTGGGCTCTCTGATCAGCAGGGAGCCTGCTTTCTCCTCTCTCTATGCCTGCCTCTCCGCCTACTTGTGATCTCTGTCAAATAAATAAATAAAATCTTAAAAAAAAAAAAAAAGGAAAGAAAGAAACTAAAAATGAGGGGCGTCTGGGTGGCTCAGCTGGTTGGGCGACTGCCTTTGGTCCAGGTCATGATCCCGGAGTCCCAGGATCAAATCCTGCATCGGGCTCCCAGCTCCATGTGGAGCCTGCTTCTCCCTCTGACCCTCTCCCCTCTCATGTTCTCTCTCCCTCTCTCTCTCACTCTCAAATAAAGAAATAAAATCTTTAAAAAAATAAAAATAAAAATGAGAGAGAAAATAAATGTAATACTAAGACAAGGAGATAGAGAACAAAGAGGCCATGATGGAAACTAAAGGATACATGAGTCTTAGAAAATCAACCCACGCAATACAACATTTACTGGCAAAAGTTCCAACGAAAGAGAACAGAGAAGGCAGGAAGGAAATCAAGAGAGAAATAATATTAGCAAGTCTATAGGACCGAAGGACATTCATTCCCAGATTGCAAGAATCTGTGCCTCCAACAATGAATGAAAAAAGACCTGTTTCAAGGCACACTGCTATGGAATTTAACGACACCAAGGATAAAAAAATGCTACAACTTCCAGAAGGAGCTTTGAACTCACTCATAAGGAATGAGAAGCGCATTTACAGACACAATGTGCAGTCCTTGATTGGAGTGTAAACTAAAAAGCAAAATCCAAAACATCTATAAAGGACATTATTTAGATAACTGGGTCAAGTTGAATATAGACTATATATTAGATAACTAGCATTATATCAAAATTAAATTCCCCGTGTGTGAGAACTAGGTTGAGATTATGCAGGAGAATGTCCTTATTCTCAGGAGACACCTGTTGGAGTATTTAGGAGTGAAATCTCACAGTGTCTGTAATTGACTCCCAAATTGTTCAGCATAAGGAAAAAAGCCTATAATGTTGTGAAGACATAAAGCAAATGTGATAAAATATTCACAACTGATGAACTAGACAAGGAATATACAGAGGTTTTCATCATACCATCTGTACAATTTTTCTGTAGACTTGAAGCTTTCAAAATAAGAAAGATGAGGGGAAAGGAGAAAACACAAAAGACATAGGACTGGGATGGGGAAGAGAGGAAGAGAATCAATCATCAGGTATATTCTCAAGGCAGCAAAAAACAATGGAACAGGGCGCCTGGGTGGCTCAGTGGGTTAAGCAGCTGCCTTCGGCTCAGGTCATGATCTCAGGGTCCTGGGATCGAGTCCCGCATCGGGCTCTCTGCTCAGCAGGGAGCCTGCTTCCCTTCCTCTCTCTCTGCCTGCCTCTCTGCCTACTTGTGATCTCTGTCTGTCAAATAAATAAATAAAATATTAAAAAAAAAAAAAAAACAATGGAACAAAATGCTTAAAAATCTGATGGAAAGAAAATATACCCCAGAATTCTATACTCTTAGCCAAATGACATGTGAAGGACTTAAATCTTCATCCATGATAATTACGGATAATGTTAAAAATTCAAGACATAGGGGCACCTGGCTGGCTCAGCTGGAAGAGCATGCAACCAGGCACCCCTGCTTTGTTTCGAAGTAATCTTTTCACCCAAGGTGGGACTTGAACTCATGACCCCAAGATCAAGAATCATGTGCTCCACCAACTGAGTCAGCCAGGAGCTCCAAATGCAGTTTTGTTTTGTTTTTAATGTGATAAGCCAACAGTAATATTTACATGAAATAAAATGGCAAAAAACTAACAATGAATCTTGGAACACTGCATCAAAAACTAACGATGTATTTTATGGTGAATAACACAACACAATAAAAAAATTTATTTTGATTTAAAAAAATTTTTAAAAGATGAAAAACTGGTAAAAAATAATTTTTAGAAGACAAAAAAAAAGTTAAGGAAGCATTACACCAAAAATAAAAGCTCATTATAATATGCTAGTAATTAAGATGATGTAGTTTCCATCCAGGGACAAATAAACAAACCAATGAAACAGACTAGGGAGCCTCAAAACAGACCATCCAAGAAAGAAACATAATATATAACAGAAGTGGCATTAAAAGTCAGTAGGGAAAAGATATTCTCTTAAAAAATTGTGCCATGAAGGGCGCTGCTGGCTCAATCAGTGAAGCAACTCTCAATGTTGGGGTCATGAGTTCAGGCCCCCTTTTGGGCGTGGAGATTGCTTAAAATAAATGAACTTTCTGAAAAAATGGTGCTGTAATACTCGGTTAATCATTTGAAAAAAACAGTCAAGTCCAATCCCTATCTCACACCATATATAAGAGGCAATCTGGGGTAGATTAAAGGCCTAAATATATGAAGAAAGGCTCTTATTTTAATGTAATTTTATATTTTATTTTATTTTTAAATATTTTATTTATTTATTTGACACAGAGAAAGAGAGAGCACAGCAGGGAGAGCACCAGGCAGAGGCAGAGGGAGAAGCAGGCTCCCCACGGAGCAGGCAGCCCGATGTGGGGCTCGATCCCAGGACCCTGGGATCATGACCTGAGCTAAAGGCAGTCATTTAACCAACTGAGCCACCCAGGCATCCCAAAAGGCTGTATAATTTTAGAAGGCAATATACAGGTTAGTAATTTTCAGATCCTTAAGTAGGAAAAGATTTTGTAAACAAGACATAAAAGAGTTCCAAACCAGAAATGAAAAGACTGTATTTGGACACTAAAATACAAAACTTGGGGGTGCCTGGGTGGCGCAGTCGGTTAAGCGCCTGCCTTCGGCTCAGGTCATGATCTCAAAGTCCTGGGATCGAGCCTCAGTTCTGGCTCCCTGCTCAGCAGGAAGTCTGCCTCTCCCTCTCCTTCTGCCCCTCCACTCGTGCTCTCTCTTGCTTTCTCTCAAAAATAAATAAAATCTTTAAAAAATAAAATACAGGGGCACCTGGGTGGCTCAGTGGGTTAAAGCCTCTGCCTTCGGCTCAGGTCGTGATCTCAGGGTCCTGGGATCGAGCCCTGCATCGGGCTCTCTGCTCAGCGGGGAGCCTGCTTCCCTTCCTCTTTTTCTGCCCACTGCTCTGCCTACTTGTGATCTCTGTCAAATAAATAAATAAATAAATCTTTAAAATAAATAAATAAATAAAACACAAAGCTTCTACCCCAAAGAAGGTAACATCAGGTGAAATGCGAGCCACAAGCCAAGGGAAAAGGACCGCAACACATATAAACTAACCATTTTGCATCCATCAGACCGGCAAAAATTAAGAAGTCTGACAACAGCAAGCATTGGAAATACTCTAGAAAACAAGACTTCTCATACATTACTGGTGGGAAAATGAACTAGTACAACCATTTCACAGAGCAGCTTAGCAACATGTCATCAAGAGGACAGTGTGCACATTCTAAGTCCCGGCCACCACACACAGACGCACGCAGGTTCACGGGACAGACTGTTTATCTCCACAATCGCAGCAGTAATTTCTGTTCACACAAGGTCTT